TTTTTTTCTCTGCTTTTTCTTTCCCATTGCTCTTATATTTTGCCTCTGGTTTTAATCAACTACCCACGAAGAGTCCCATGTAGAAAAAAATTTTCTTTGGCTTGCAAAATGATTGAAGGGATGCTCACACATCTGTCATCTTCTTTGTCTAAAGCTAGGACCTCAACACCTCCCTTGAAACCAGATTGCAAGGGATGTTACAACCACGAGGCCAGCCCAACAAACGCACCAGCCTCCTGACAAGCACACCAGCCTAGCTCTGGCCTCACGCCTGACAAAGTAAGGTACACCAAAGGCAAAAGGGCAGGGCACCAGGTACTGTTGTGTACTAAAAGGCCACAGCATATTGTATTAAACAGTAAAGGAAATATGTGTCTGCAGGAAAGTTTTATTCAGACCCTGGGTGATGATTCCAGAAAATCGCCAGAAGTATGATTTAGGCCTGTGCGGAAGACGAATTAGAGCTGTGAGGAGGACAGGTTTAATTATTGTTTTCCTGTCTTGTTGCATGAATCAGTAGTGCAACTATGCTGAGTACTTGGCACGGGAATAGAGACTTTTCGTAGATCGCATGCAAGAGTTTTGTGTTGCTTGGGGAGCTCATGCCGTCACTTTGATGGGAGAATAAGCTTGCGCCCGCAGGGCCTGCAACCTGCAGCTGACGATCTATGAGAAGTTTCTAACATAATAGCTATGATGGTCCCCATGGCTGTTGACAAAAGAAACCCCAATATGCAGTTACCATTTCTTAAACAACTTTAGGACTAAGCTCACTTAGCTTACGTGCCAATACTGTTCCCCGATGCTTACAGAAAAAAGCAAGTAAGCAGCCAAAGACACAAGAAACAAAATGAGGCAGGTAATTGTAGCCTGCATTGCAAACTGATCCCATAGTTGAAAAGAAATTGGCACTGGTGGCTGTACTCTAGTTTTCTACATATATTATTAAAAGGATGTAGTTAGCCTATGCATCAAGCATAATTGTTTTCCAAGACACTTTAGAAAGTTAGACACTAGAACATTCCTGAATAGACCAATTGGTGCTGGTTATGTTAGAGGTATAAAAGGAAAGTAACATAAATAGGAGGAGGACAGGACACATCACCGAAGCAAATAATTGAAAATGTATGATTGAAATTCAGAATTAACCACATTTTTTGCAGAGAGGAGATAGAAAGAGAGAGAGAGAGAGGTTATGTATATATTGAAATCCTTTCCTGGAGCAAAGATTCTAGATATATTAAACTGTGCCTAAACAGCAAACAAAACAAAAATTCACACAAGAAATATTTTACTTGTAGTTGTCCATAACCGCGCTAAAATTCTTAATTTTGGGGTAACATAAAAAAAAACTTTAAAAAATTTAGGCAACATTATTGGCGCGAGAGAAAGTTAATCGGCGATAACTAATTTTACTCATAAAGGTACGAGATTTTCTTACTTATGCTCATACATGAACTACAATTCTGCCGCTTTAACGGCAGCAGTACATGTGCGCAAGCGCAAGGTGTTGCAATGTGTAGTAAAACTTTATTTTGTAATTCGCCCCTCTCGATTATCTGGGAACAGATGAGCGATGGTTGCATTCATGTCCCGCTTTTCTGACAGCTTCATCTACTAGTGTTTCGGTCTGGCTGTGCATATCTCATCATGGACCTCATTTGCATGAATTAAAACAGCCAATAACTCCTACTTTGCCATCGGTACAAGGAGTGTTTGCAACTGCGCAGCTGTATGTGAAAAGACAATTTGAACACTACAGCATCGTCATCCTTGTTCGAATAGCTCCGTCTTCTAAGAGTGAGCGAAATCATAAAGAAAAACAGCATTCATCTTCTTAGGCACACTTAGCTATCGACAAATTCTCTCGTGCCTGGTTTATCTGCTCCGGCCCAGAGACCTGACACACAAGCAACCTTCCTTTGTGGAGGTTCGCCTCTCTAAAGAAGTAATCCTCATTTTACAGCAGTACGAAAGTTACAATAATATCACAACACGCTGCTTCCCATTGCAACTGGCAGCACGACGAGTCAGGCGAAAGCCGCATAGAGTGAATTTGCATCACAAGAATCGCTGCAGTGCACTCCCTGGCCTGGCCCAATCGTTCGCTAAAACTTTGTTTGACCAATTGAGTGCCACCCCTCAGGGGTCACAGCGGCGCAGCATGAATCGAACCTCAGAACCAGGAGAAGCGCTAAACAGACTGCCGGCTTGCCACGCAATCTCACGACGTCCAGGGTATTGAACCGAACCCAAACCGTAAACCGAAAACCGGAAAAAAACTTTATTTTCGCTCAAACCGGGATTGAACTCCAACGAAATAATTTGTTTCGCTCCGGATCGGAACCGATGTTTTCCATGCGGTTTTCGGTTTATACGCAAAGTCAGGTAGCGTGAAAAAAGCGTCGCAAAAAACACAGTAACCTAAAAAAAAAAAAAGAAAAAAAATTGTGAAAACCGGAGAAAGCCGTGCACTTGTTAAGAGACTGTGTCCAATATATTATGTCCCTTATCATGAAGCTATGATTGAAGAGAGCAGTGCTTGATTGTCTAACGCGGTGGATGTCCACGCGGCATATGCTCACCAGGCTACTTGAACTAGGAGGCTTTGCTGGAGGGTTGCTTTCAAAAGAAGAAAGCACCAGGTCGACTGAAAACGTATGGGCGGAAGTCAAATGCTCACAGTATCGCTTCGCCCGGCAGAAGTGGCGACGAAGCCATTGCAGAAGGAATAGCTCACTGTAGGGGATTTCTATGGCGCATGGCTGAGATATTCCATGGGCACTTCCAAGATATCGTCGTTGTTAGCAAAGGCTTTGGTTCAGTCAGTGAAAAAGAGGGAGCGACAACTTCTTGACACTAATGTCTTCTGTGCAGTGGTGTACATAAATCCCCGCTGCCGCCTTCTTCTCACCCCTGAGCAAAAGTATCGGGCCACATTGCATTTGACAAAGACTTGGACGCGGATCACAGCTCTGCAGTGCGAGCAAGTTTCTACCTTGTCATCTGAAACTGCGGCGGCTCCAGAAGATCCGGAAGACGTCCTGGAAGCGCTCCTCAAGAAAAAAGAGGTTGAGCCTGGCGTGTACTATTGGGGAAAAATGAAGTGCGAACAGAGGAGTGCGTGGCTCACGGTACAGGCTGCGCCGCCTGGAAGTGAGCCTAGGAGCGAGGGTGCGTGGCCTACTACGACGTGTTCACGCCCCTCCCTCTGCGCTCCCAAGCTTCAGCAGTGCGTCTTTTAGTGCGCTGAAAGCTATCAGCGCTATCTTTGCTGGCTCAGCGCGTGCGGTGCAAAGAAGCTCGCCACACTCGCCGAGCAGGCAAAAATAGCGGTGACAGCTTTCAGTGCACTGAGAGGCGCGTTGCCGAAGCTGGGGGAGCGCCAATCGAGCGGCATGAACACATCGAAGTAGGCCACTCACCCTCGCCCCTAGGCTCACTTCCAGGCGGCGCAGCCTGTACTGCGAGCCACGTGCTCCTCTGTTCGCATTTCATTTTTCCCCGATAGTACATTTGAGGTACCAATAGCCCACTTTATATAGCCTACCTCCTTGAAATGCTACACAAGGAGCCGCGGCGTTCAAGGCACGCTAACGTGTTGCGGTTTAGGGAGGAGAGACGGGAGCGCTATCCAGAACTCTGCGCATTGGCGCAAGTAGCCCTGGGAGTGCCTGCGACCAAGGTCAGCATGAAGCGAGCACCTTCTGCACTGAAGTTGATTTTATCGTCTCAGAGGTGCCGTCTTTCCCCGCATATGCTTGACGACATCCTGCTTCTTCGGTCAGCTGCCTGACATTGAACTGCGCTTTCACCCGCACGTCCTGTAGTGCCCCAGCACTAGCTTGTTCGTACCACACTGTAATGTGAGACTTTGCTTTTTATATGTAACACTTTTATAAAATATGCATAGTTTATCTTTTGCTGTCGTCAATTGTTTTTGTAGCATATAAGTACGAACCGGTTCGAACTGGTTTGAACCTTTATTTTTTCACTCCAGAGTTGAACCGGAGCTGAACCGTTTTCCCTGAACCGGAGCGAAAACCGGAACGAAAAATATTTTGGTTCGACACCCTGACGACGTCAATGATGTTTCGGTCATTCCGATGAACCCGGTGAGCACATGAGTCTGGTCGTGGGGTTAAGCACTATCCAAACCAACGCGTTTTTGTGCGCGCGTAGGCCGTGCGCTTCCCGGAAATTGCGTATTTCGTGACGTTGTTGCTGTTTCCGGGGCGCTTTCCGAGTCCCAACCAGGCACGTTGGTTAGGGCGGTGCGCGGTCGGGCCAGCGGAGAGCATCTGCGCCAGACGGCGAAGACTAGTGCCCTCCACCGATTGGCCGGGAAAGGAGCGCCCTACTACGTCAATGCGCGTTTCCCTGCGCGTTCAGAAAAAGTTTAAATCATCCAACTTTCTTACGCAGAAGGCGCAAGAAATCAGCGCTACGTCACGAACTACGCAATTTCCGGCAGACGCACGGCCTACGCTTGCCTACGCGCGCACAAAAGCGAGTTGGTTTGAATCGCGCTTTCCAAAAACCGCGCGACGCGACGAGTGACAGCGAGAAGTCTCCGTCGCTCGTCTCATCGCTTACATGCGGTTCATCTTTCAGTATCCGTTGACAGACCGCAATCGCAGGGAAAAATAGCGCCGTTTCTAGCGCAAGACATACCTGCCCTCCTTGGTCACGAAGTGCGGATGACTGTTCAACAGGGACCGCTGCAGGGTCGGCAGGGTGCTCAGCGTCTTTGACAGGGCGTCGCTTACGTAGATTGCGGCGCACAACCCCCTTCGAAGACATGGCTGTAGGGACGTTGCCAAGACACACGATTCAACCACAGTTTATCAGAGGCTTCAACGCTTCAACTTGACGTCGCAACAGCAGCAACACCGCCCGTCCACCCATCCGTCCACCAGATGGTTTAGACGGTTTAGACGTTTAGATCCGTCCGTCCCACAGTGGTCCGTCCGTCCGCCCGCGTTCACACATTTGCCATCATCATCATTAAATTTTAGTTTTCTTGGACTATTTCAGCACACAGTTACGCGCAATACACGTGTTTTTATACATTTAAATGGCATTGCGAATACTAAGTCATCTTTCTGAAACTGTTCATTTCCAAAAGCTATCAATTTCAACCGAGTCTTTAGTTGTCATCATCACCGGTGCGGGGTTGGCGGGGTTCCGTAAAGTCCGGTCAGTCCGGTCGTCTGGTGGTGGTGGTTCGGCACGTTGACCGCATGCTTATCGGTACTTGTCGTTAGAAGACCGTGTTGTCCTTTTTTAAACGAGGAATCGTCAGGTGCACCGGAAGTCAGCTGTTCTTGCTGTCTAGTGGAAAGGGTCGCAGACTCCTTCACTCCGGAGTAATTCAAGCTTTGCTTGAAAAGGCCAGCAGTTCAAACGAATGTTCGAATATAGGCGATAACTCTAAACACTAGCAGTTTAGTGTGCTTAGAATAGTCGCGATGACAGAAGGTGTTCTCAAAGAACTTGCCAACCGCTTCCTTGCCTGTGTTCCCGCGTCGGAAGCGATGCAGTGCCTGGTAAGTTGAACTCGTACGAGGTCCTTATCACGTGAGCGAATGACGTTTTAGCGAACAGCGGTTTTGGACTGAATTAAGAGGGCGCGGTACCTCTCTTTATTCGTCCGTTTCAGCCACCAGATGGCGCGCGGCTCGAAACGTGGTTGGACGCGCAACTTCTAGATGGCGCCAGTATCGAGGTGTGAAAAGGCCCGCGTTATCCGCTGCGTGAAATAGATCCCGAAATGTGCCGTGTTCTCCCGGCGGAGGAAGTCTCTCCCTCCCTCGCGCGCGCTTGGTATGTACGCGCGGTGGCCGAGTCCGGCCTCTGCGCTGTGTGATGCACTGGGTTGCGCTCGTTTCTGTTCAGAGGTAGGAATAAAAATGCCGGTCCCCTTTTTTACGACGCTCGTTTCTATAGTTTGTTTTTCTTTTGTTTTTTTTTATCTCAAGTGACCTACAGTACCGCCTGTTCGAAATCGTCCTTTGCGGTGAGCGATTGAGAGTCAGGTTAGCATTTTATTTGGGTCAGCACTACACGTTCAATGGAGACCTCGGGCGGCGATGTAAATATGCATTGCTCCCCAAAGTGTGTCCAAGGTGCGCAATGACAATTGGAAAGGGTATTGAAGGCGCGCGACCGTCGGTTGGTAAAATACGTGCGTTAGATTCACTTATTCAGTCTAATCATTTTTGCCAACGTCTTTTATCTGTTTCGACAAATGACATGGTCGAGTCTATTGATAACCTTAGCTAGATTGGACGTACGGAGTGTCCGGGCTTTAAATAAATTTGCTTCGTTTAGGTGAATGAATAACTGTTTTCTCTTTTCCGTGCTCGGTGCTATGCAAAAATCGCTGAGATGTTATGGTAGCTTAGTGTGGCGGCGTTTTGCACGCTGACTCGCTATTGCATTCGCTGTGCACAATATGTGTTCAGATGGAATGTGCCAAATCGTATTTCCGATCGATATGATAGATTTACTTTGCTACAGTGTTAATTATATTTTCCTGATTTAAACTGGTTCGTCCGTGATCTGAGCCTAAGTTCAAATTCGAAGGGCAGACAGAGTTAGCGTCGTAACAGCCGTAATGCGCAGAAAAAAATTAGTACCATGAAAGAAAAACAAAAGGATACGAGGTGGCTCAGTGTTATAGAAGTAATGAGTGTGCAAAGGATGCCATCGTACGTGTTTTTTTTAACTCTCCGCATCGCTGGGAAACGCTCAAAATACCAGCAAAGACAGCGAGCTGGCGTGAAATTTCCATCGAGCGGAAAACGAGTGTCATTTTTATTTCATCATGCGCTTTCATTTTGATATGGCTCAAGATGGGCGCGAAATAGTAACAGGTAAGGCAACAAAATTTAGATGTTAGGTCTGGAGCACCGCCATACTGAGCCGTGTTGGGGGCATCTCTCGCGAGTCAATACGGCAAAGGTATTACGCGTCGAACTGTACGTGAGAGTTATCCATTTCAGCGAAACCTTGATTTCGCAAAACTATTGTGGCTCGAGTCGTGGCTTCCAGTACTTGGAAGCCACGAGCGAGAAATAAATGACAGTAGATTTTGAAGGACAATCGCGACGTGGAAACCCATAAAAGAGAGTTCCAATAAGACGAGAGCTTCCCCTTCTCTTCAAGTGCGCGGGTTACGCTCTCAATCCTGCACCTGTGGTAACACTGCAGGCTCCTAAAGTCGCTTTAAAAACGTTCCTGATCGCAACAACTTTTTTTTTTTGTCGAGGCGCTATTTCATTTTTTTTTCTTTTTGTCTACCTTGATACCCGATCAGCGCAAAAACTACCATAAACTAAAAAAAAAAAACAGTGGGCATACAACGACAACGCACCCACTGGGACCCGAGTCAAGGCAAGAACAACTAACTACTAAAAGGGGAAAAAATCATGTTTGCATACACAGACAGAACGCCTCCATCGAAAGAAATGAATCATGCGCTTGTTCTGCCAGTCTCGTTGTGCGTCTGTCAAAAGCCACAAAGGAGGAAGACAATCAGCGCCTACACCACTCCCCTCCCCCCCCCCCCCCCCAACCACCCCTAAAAAGAAGAAAAGAAAGGTTTCTTGGGCGCGCGCGCGGTCGCCCAAGCGATGACCTTGGAAGGGTATGCGATTGTATTTGTAGCACGTTTGTCCCCCCGTTGTGCCCCTGTCTCAATTGGGCTACGGGCCGTTCGTCGAAAGGCAATTCGTAACAGGGCAACTCGTAGCAGGGCAATTCGTCACGTAGGGCAGTTCGTCATAGGGCTATTCGTCGCTAGGGCAACTTGTCGAAAACCGGCGTGTGTGTGTGTGCGTGTGTGGGAAAGGGGGGGGGGGGGGTCGAGTCATAGAAGAAGTTTGTGTAGAAGATAAGGCTTCGATGTTTCTTTTACTTTTTTTTTTCCTTGCTTTGCTTCTCTGGGTGCTCTGTCGTATTCTGTTTAGAGGGTTCACGATCCCTTGTCCGGTTTCTAGGACTCACAAGCAGACGTATGGAGACTTCTTTGATGCCTATTTTCTTTACCACCTTTCTTCCTTATCGTTCGGTCCGTGTCATCTTTACCGCTTAAGTGAAGAACAAACTTTTCAAGGCGTACCGCTTACCGGGGGTTTGGGGACATGGAACATGTATGTATAAATGGTAAAGTTCAGAAGCATTCCAAGAAACGTTCGACCGCCACCTTGTCCACGTACTTTTGGGGTTTCAGAAAAGTCGGAGGCTTTTCTTCTCTAGTCGTATCCTGTTTGGAGAGTTCACAACCCTTTGCCCGGTTTCTAGGACCTACAAGCAGAAGTTTGGAGACTTCTTTGGTGCCTATTACCTTTACCACCTTTCTTCCTCCTGTTCGGTTCCTGTCACCTTTACCGCTTTTCGCTGGCGTTTCGTTCTGGTGATTATGCAACTGCCTAGACCCACTGCTGACTCAAGTGCCTTTGTTATTTCGATTTCGCTTATCTTTCTTTTTCGGAAAGATCGGAAGTAACTTTTCAAGGCTTACAAAATAAAGTTTTGAAGACCTCTTTGTTAGCCACGTCCTTTTAGGTCCCAGGGTATGTTCGTACATCTGCCGAATGCTATAAAATGTTTGGTCTGAGCGTGTATCTTCGCAGTCGCTATGGAAGTCATCGGGACTGCAAGGGGCGGAAAGATGCTGGTTTGCGGAGGATTTTTATATACTACGAACCGAAGGACTGAGCAACCCATTCAAAGGGAAGTACCAAACAAGCGAGGAGCTCCGTCCGTGAATATTCATTTCGAAGCACTATACTTGATAAACTGGGAAAATTAAACACATAAGAAGCTTTTTCAATAGGGTGACGAATTGTCATCTTGACGAATTGCCCTATGACGAAGTGCCCTATGACGAATTGCCCTATGCGACGAATAGCCCTGCTACGAGTTGCCCTGCTACGAATTGTCTTTCGACGAACGGTCCTACAGCCGTCTCAAATGCCACGGTCCGTTTCTCCCAAGTGCCCGTCTTATCTTCCCGAGTATCAACTCCGCAGTGATTCTGAATCATTCCGATGCTTTCCAACGTTGCAAAACTGTTAGACAAATATTTGCACAGAAGTATACACTGTTCGCAGAACTATCTACGGCGCTAAAATTCAAAAGCGCCATGTTGGATTCGGGAACTCGTGTAGGTTTAGCTCATTGTTGGAACATTCTTATTCGCTCGATGAACTCCACAAAACGTGTAAATATTAGAATGAACTTTCCAGAGAACGATAGTTATTGTCGGGGTTCCAGGCGACCGGACAGGTCGCAATTATTGGCTGATTAAAAATTTTATTTCATAATCACAATCGTATCATCAAGGGCACGCCATTTCCTCATCACTTCTTCTACAAAAAGAGTTGCTGTATTCGTAGCACACACAGACGGAAACGGTTGAGACTGTGCCCAAATAATATCTTCTTTTGGCAGGTACTGCGCAGCGATTACACACAATGCCTCTAACATAAACATGCTGCTCCACATGTCTATTCACAAGATGCAATACATCGTTCTCCCAACTTTGTTGAAATGGGCATGAAAGCGCGTAACCGTCGCTTTTTTGAAGTTCTACTTAGAGGTGAAGTGTTTACCGTAAAAAGTCGTTAAATATTTATTTTTTTCCGTTCCACTACAAAGCTCGATTCACATAAACTTTTGTTTTTATATCGTCTCTACAGCGCTTTTACGTCGGTACTTTCGTGTTAGAGGACATCACATAATGTGCGAAAAAAAACAACAAAAAAACGGTAGGATCGATGCTGCATAGCCTTTTTTTTTTGTGGACATCAAGAAAAAAAAAAAGATAGTAGTTGTCTTCACTTCGCACTGCATGTTTTAGCACGGAAGTTCCTATTTGGTTATGATGTCTTTATTTTCTTAAAAATTGTATACAGTAATTTAAATTACCGAATTACAAAAACGTCGAAATTGTATAATTGCTTTTCGTTGGGACGCCATGACGACAGCGACACTCGTGTTCCCTCGTGGTTTTCGCCAGCATTTCTACGATGAATTGCCAGGATCGCGAGATGCAACAGCATTACACTCCGTCTTCTGTGACGTCATTTGTTGCACTTCGGGACCACTTTTGATGTATGGCCACCATAAGACGCTAAACACACCAGTCGGAGACGCACTGCAGGTGCCATAGTACTGCTCCTAAAAGTAGCTGTCACATGCTTTGCTCCGCGACTGTGATTCCCTCACAGCAGCTCTGACTGAGGGTTGCCAAATTACGGTGAAACAGAGTATAGACAAAACAGACCGGAAACGAGCTGCCAGCATACGATAGTCAAACTCCAACAAAAAGGATTAGTTTCTTCCCAAGCTGGACGACATTTACCGGGCATCTTTAGAGCTGCGAAGCTCAAAATCACGCGTACTCATAAGATTTTTTTTTTCTCGCGTGTTTGTGATTTTTATGATGTCCTGCAAGCAAGAAAAAAATATATATGGTGAAGTCACTCCGAGGGGGTACCGATAACTGCGAGCCACGAACATGAAGGATTCGCTAACATCC